GATACTCCTGCACACCAGGCTGTCCCCCCAGAAAACCTCTTTTTGTCAAATAAGTATTACAGTAAAGTAGAGTTTCAGGACTTGGCTAGCTCCTTCTCCCCTTGTAAGTGAAAGCAAAGGTGCAGATGCAGATCTCATGTGTAACCATCTCACCAGGAAAACAGTGAGTTCACTTGTCGAGTTTCCACTGATATGAAACCACAGGATTGTGTCTGTGTTTGTGTCTATGAGTGTGTGCATCATTTTCTGTGTACAGCTACAGACCATGCTAGACATTTTTCCCCATAAGAAGTTGGACTCAAGCCCAAGTTTACTACTCTCAGATAGCTATGACAGTACTATGCCTGCATCCATAAATATATCTTCTACAGTAAATGCCACTGCAGAAATGCATCATTTTCATCTATTCCTGGGAAGGATTTAATGACCCCTTTCTTTTTATTTTATTTTTTTGTGTAATTTGGTCCTTGTTACAAGCTTGCTGGCATGGGAGTGCTGTAAGGAGAGCGATTGCGCCATGATTTGAGGGTGCTGCTATTTGTGCAAGAGTTCCTACCACAGACAGAAATACTGATGCAGAACTAGAGTTTTGCTAGGGCAATTTATTCTGCTCAGAGAGCACTAGAATAAGTTATCACAGCAGAGGTGAATTTTGCAAATCCGGAGTGTCTGCACACTATGAACAATACACAGTACAGTGCCTGTATTCAACAAAGTCTTAAAAGCGCAACTTCCTTTTTCTGCCTCTCTTCTAGAAGGAAATAATATTCTTTCCAGTAGATAGTTCAGTGCAGAACGTACACTGAGGGATAAAGGATTATCTTTGCAGATAACCAGGTCGTCCTGCAGGTACCATAAGGACAAAGGCAGATATTTCTCTTAGCTAATTTCTATTTTCTTGGTGATTGTTTCAATGCAATTGAATGTCTTGGTCATTGAGTTCCCACTTTTTATAATTCCCAGTCTTTTCCTGTGTTTGTTCCATCATGAAATTGATGATTTCGCCATGACAGAAAAAGAGCTGACAACTAAAAACAAGGCCAACAGTGAATCAAATAAATAGAGAAGGGTATGAGGAACATAGCCACAACACCACAGACAAAGAGCTGTGTTTGTATGTTAAACTGGAAAGCCATTTCCCGATGATATTTATTTTTGTAACATCACAGTGATTCATTATTGTTGCTATAGTGTTCCCCTATCTTTCTGCCTACTTCCTCTTTGTGGAAAAGGGCAGGAGCAGCTAACTATAATACTGATCTCTCATTATCAATGAGAGTATCAATGACACAACTCTCACATTTCAAAAAAAAAAAAAAGAAACCTCTTAGAGAAAGGGAGATATTTTGCAGCACAGTAAAAAGATCTGATATTCATGATTTCCAACTTCCCTGTAAAATCTATGTCTGTCCTTATCTTACAAACATGTTATATTCAGTGCTCCAAACAAATGCAATACCAGGTTGTATCAATCAAAGGATCACGAGACACAGGCAAATCAGGATCATTCTGATTCATAATAAAACTCAGAAATTTTTACCCAGAAAGTCGTGTTCATCCCTGGAAACCTTTGTGCTGGCAGAGCTAGTATTTGTTATGCATGTCTATCAGTGTCAACGACAAAGTGTCATATTCACAGAGATATCAAATCAATTGAAATACTTTTCAGTAGCTTGAAAACATTCAATTTTTGCAACTCAGAATGATCGGATTCCCACTTTGTTAAAAAAATCTTAACTTTTTCATATTTTGCCCTGAAATTACTGTTTTTCAAGAAATGTCATCTTACTTGCAAAATAAACTTCAGTAGTAACCACCTGTACCGTTCAAAAATAAGTGTTTCTCACTAAGATTTTTTTTTCCTGCAGTTCTTTCCTGTTTTTATTTCTTCCTCACAAGAAGTAATCTTGTCTGGTCAAATAATCTCCAAGTGTCAGCCACTGTTTTTATTTCCTCTTTCGTGTGATTTCATAATTTCATTCTGTTCATTTGCCTCTCTGGCTGCTGTTTATCTTCTTGCCCTTTTGCTGTTATACTGTATGGATCAGATTGCTGTTCTAAGTGCTTGCTAAGCCATCTCCTTTCTGTATTTGACTGTTGGCTTCACATCTATTTCCCACATTTGAGTCATCTATTTCAAATTGCCAGACTGAGGGTTTTCATGTAGGGCTAATAAAGGAATTCAAAGCAATTGCTTGAAATTGCTGCTGAACTAAGTGTTTATAATCTAAAATCAGTTTTGGTGCAAGAATAAAATGTGGCAAAGGAAATGCCAATTTTTAAAAAGGGCTTCAAATCTGTTCCTGGTTGTACCACAGGTTAGTAAGTCTGTCTTCCATACAGATACATTAGGAAACTGAACAAGAATAGGATTAGTAGGGACTTTGATAAAGATCATACAGCTTTTGCAGAGGGAAATCATTGCAGTCTCACAAAAATGACAGCATACTTAGGCTTTCAAAAGGCTTTTTCACAAATGCCCTCATCAAAAGCTCTAAAGAAATAAAACTCTAATAGGATAAAAATTATGTTCCTGTCATAACTGTTTAAAAGATGGAATAAAAAGCCTAGGTCTCAGTGTTCATCTTTCAAAGCAGAAGGACATTCAACAGGGTTCACTGAGACCTGTGCAGCTCAACATCATCATAAATAATATTGGAAAAGAGACGAATAAAGGGATAATAACATTTACATAGGATGGAGAAGTCTTCAGGATATGTCAAATAGAAACCTGACTATAAAGAATTGCAGAAAGGTCTTACAATATTGAATAACTAAGTGATAAGGTAGTAGATGGAATTCAGTGGTGACAAATGCGAAGTAATGCACTTGGGAAGGAAAAACAGGCCTAATTACACCCATACATTGCCAAGTTCAAAATTGCTCTCCAGTAGCTAACAAACATTGGGCAAGAGATCTAAGATGCACTGTGAATAAATCTCTGGAAATGTCAGCTCAGTGGTCAGTAGCAATTAAAATGACAAACAGTTATTGTTATGAAATGGAGGGGAAAGCCGAACACGTCAGCATGCCCTGTGTAAATCCATCAAGCGTCTGCATTACAAAAACAGTTTGTTGTTCTCATCCCACTCCTTCATCACTGAAAGATAGTAAAATGAGAAGAGACTCAAGAAAGGAAACAGAAGTGGTCAGAAGTGTGTTTTAGCAGATTAACAGGCACAGGCTGAATGTTCTAGGACGCTCCAGACTGGGAAAGAAGCAAGAAGGAAATGAGAGAAGAAGTCTGTGACGTTGGAGATGAAAAAGTGAGTATCACAACAAGTTGCAACGCAGCACATAGGAAGCACGAATGAACTGTCGGGTGGCAGATCTGAGGAAACAAACAGGACTTTTTTCCCTGAAGTATAATGAAATTGAGGAACGTACTGCCTGGGGCTTAGTGGAGATCCAATCTATACATAGTTTGGAAAGTAACTTGACAAATTGATGGCGGAAATATTGACACGATGCTGGTTTTTGGAGGCTGGGAGGACGCTGGAGCAGTGTGTGGAACCAGGTGGCCCCAGCTCCGCGGGCAGCGCTGACCCAGGTGCCGGCCCCGCTGCCGCTCAGCGCGCGGGTCTGCGCAGAGCGAGCCTGGGGCTCCTGAGCGCGGCTCGGCCCAGCAGCGGGAAGGCAAGGCATCCTGAGAATTAAGGCTTTTTTAAGACTATTTTAAGATTTATTAAAGCTTGTTTCTCGTTTTTGAAAGATGATCTCAAAAGGAAAATTGTTAAATTAATATCTTTATTCTATCATACTTTGAGGTTTTCCACTGTAGTGCTGCTTTGGGACTGTTAGTATTGATTACTACATATTGAGCTTTACAGAGAGAAAACAAACTAAAAACTTCTATTTTCTCCATACAGGCAACCCTGCCCATGTTGAGCTGAGAAGGGAGAGGTTCAGGGCTCACTACCTATCCGGATGGGATATTCTGCATTTTTCGCAGTTGTGCTTCAGCCTGCTTTTTTCAGCACCTCTTTGCTAGTGGTGTTTTGCCCCTGCAAATCTGAGCTCAGAGTCAAATCTTATAGCGCAGAGCCATGACGGTGGTGTGCTCTCGTGGTGGCACGAGAGCCAGCAGAGACATCCCGCTGTGCTGGGCAAGAGCAGGGGACCTGCAGCATTTGTCATGGCTTCGTTTCTCCTTTGTGGGATGGCAGCACCACGTGCCAGTGCCTCTTCCTTCCTCCTGGCCCGGGCTCCTCTGCCTCTGCCCTGCTCCAGGTCCTTCTCCTTTTGGAGGCACAGAGCTCCCGGAGGCCGCTCGTCCCCTCCATGCTCGGCCTTTACATGTCTGTCCACAGGGTGGAGGTCATGACTTGCGAATAGGAGAGACGGCGCGGAAAATAAGTCAGCATCAAAATGCGGGTGGTAGGGGAACGTCGGCATAAAACTGCGGACGGTAGGGGACATGTTCCTAGTGAGGAAGGGGAAGGCCGAGCAGGACACAGTGAGGCCCGCGCCGGCGAGGCCTCGCGCCCAGCGCGGCAGCGCTAGCGAGGGATGCAGCTCTGCTCATAGTGCGTTCTCTAATGAAGGGAAAATGAGGGTAATTTGGCTCAGTTGGAAACATGATGGTCTCTTCACAGAGCATTTGTCTGTCTTCCAGGCAGAAATATATCACATGTTCAATATAATTTCCCTCGTTTGCCATAGCCTACTTATTAGTATCTATAGTTACAAAGACAGGGAAATTAGCAACAGCGTGTGTTGTCCAATGTGGTATTTCTGTCCTCTCAGCAAGATTGTTTTGGCCTAATCGATCAGTTATTTGATCCCTTATTAGTCTTCTTCTGGCCTTGTTCAAACAGCAGCAAACATACTAATCAGGCACATTACTCTCATTTGCTCGGCTGTATTCTGGACATGCTTGTTCACTTTTCATTCTTTAGTCATACCTTATTAAAGCAAGATGGTCTTATCAATAGAGAAGATTATTTCCAGGGAGTTTTCTTTTGCTTTCTGTTTTATGCTGATTTTGGAGGAAGTGCTGCATGAATTTCCTTCCCCTTATTTCGAGGCCTAGGACAAAGTGAGACGTAAGTAGCTAAATGTGCCTGAGAATGTCCTCGAGCTGAGCTGTGCCATAGAGATTCACTCTGATTTCTTCCATTTTGCACATGACAAAACTTTGATGCGATGACTAGCGGTTTCCCTTTTATTTTTCACCTGTTCTGTTGTGTTTTCCAGGGTTTGGCATGACCACCCCAGCCACCGTCGGAGGCAAAATTTTTCTCATCTTTTACGGCCTTATAGGATGTGCGGGGACCATTTTATTCTTTAACCTCTTCCTGGAGCGGCTGATCACGGTCATAGCATATGTCATGAAGTCCTGCCACGAGAGACAGCTGAGGAGGAAGGGGGCCCTTCCTCACGATGGCCGGCGGGGCTCGGCGGGCTCCGAGGCCGACAGCCTGGCGGGCTGGAAGCCCTCTGTGTACTACGTCATGCTCATTCTGTGTGTGGCATCGCTCGTCATCTCCTGCTGTGCCTCTGCCATGTACACGCCCATCGAAGGGTGGAGTTACTTCGACTCGCTTTATTTTTGCTTCGTGGCCTTCAGCACCATCGGGTTTGGTGACCTGGTCAGTAGCCAGAATGTCCAGTACGAGAGCCAAGGGCTTTACCGCTTTGGCAATTTTGTCTTCATACTCATGGGGGTTTGCTGCATCTATTCGTTGTTTAACGTGATCTCTATCGTCATCAAGCAATCCATAAACTGGATATTAAAGAAGCTGGACTGCAGGTGCTGCCATAGATGCCAAAGAAAATTATTTAGGTCACGGAGGAACGTGGTAATGCCGGGAAACGTGCGCAGCCGGAGGAACATCTCCATCGAGGCTGATGTTATCAATGAGAGCGACACGGACGGACGCCGGCTGTCAGGCGAGATGATCTCCATGAAAGACTTTCTGGCCTCCAACAAAGTTTCGCTGGCCATCATGCAGAAGCAGCTGTCAGAAACTGCCAATGGCTACCCGAGGCAAATGAGCTGCAATTCGAAGCAAAACGGATTCTCCGGCGGCATCGGAGCCCTAGCAATTATGAATAACAGGCTGGCAGAGACAAGTGTGGATAGGTAAAACTGACGAGAGTAACTATGAAACGGTGTCCAAAAAGCATAGAAATAGCATGGAGGAGTGGAAACAGCTTGGGCAAAGTGCCACGGGGGGAAGAGTGACGTGGCCAGCATTTCTTCCACACAGAGATCTCCCAGTCTTTCTTGGGCTGTTGGTTAATATCTCTGTTCTTTGAATTGCACCAATCTCAGCCTTCCTTCTTCCCCTTCCTCCTGATCCCTAAGCAGACTACAGCAGGAGAGATTTCATTTAGCCTTTGTATCAGCTTTCCATGACCTGTTTTTCTCTATGTGAAATACAGGCTTTAGGATAAGAAGTAAGTGATATTGGAAGAAATCAAGAGTGTCCACTGAACACGTCTTCAATTAATTCAAAGATTGTTTGGACCTTTTGGTCTTACACTCTTTGGACCTGTTTTCTGAATGTAGCTTATCTGAGACCAAAAGAGGAATCATTATAAGCCTTTTTTTTCTGTGATAATGCAGATCTAGTTTAATGGAATAGAAAAACAAATTATTTTCTTTTAAAACTTATTTCTTAAAATGTATTCCTATTGTGAAATGGCTGTGCTTAAGAAGCCAAATTCTGCTGCTACTAATGTTTGTATAAATCTGGAGTAATTCTATTAAAGTTGGTAGAACTACTCTGGAACTATTTTGATATAACTGAGAGGAGTATTTGGATCTTAGAATTTAATTTATTCTTCCCATTAAAAGGACGCTGTTAAAAGTGATAGAATCAAATGCATCCTACTTTTGTTTTCTCTTGCCTATTTTCAAAACACACATGATTTTTTTTTCTACTACTTTTTTCCTCTAGAATTGAATCACTCCAGGTTTCTGTTTCAAAAAGATCAAATTAAATTGAAAATCGCCAAATGGACAAGTTGTATGAACAATTCCACAGTAACAATTGAGGAACTTTCCAAATCTGAGCTCATATTATGCTCTGTTGTGACTATAGCAATTGAGCATCCATATTATGTAACACAACTAATAACTGTGTTTACACAACAGCTTTTATCATGCAGTTAAATTGCCGTGCCAACTTTCCAGTTGTATTATTATAAGCAGCTAAGACCACAAAATCACTTTGACAGCGTTCTTTTTCCCTTATATGTAATTTTGTTATTTTTAACCTCTTTTTCTGCCTTCAATGATGATAATGACAGGGTCTTGATTGGGGAAACAGAAAATATACAATTCGTCATTTTTCTCAATGAAATGCTATGAGTGTTCATTATAAGTAGAAAGGAGACTTCAAGAAGAACCATAAAAACGGTAAGAAGAATATGAAAACAGGAAACTAGATGATTTTTAATGACAGTAAAATGATGCTTTATATGAGGTGGATGGAAAAATAAGGAGTTAAATTAATAAAAAGTTTAGTGGGAATTTAAGGAAGCCTGGGCTTAATTCCTGGCTCTCCTCTAATCCTGCAGTGCATTAAAGCTAAACAATATATGAGGGTGCAGATTATCAGATTCAGTCACAAAAGACCTGATCCAGTTCCCCCGGAAGAGAATAGCAGGTGAATGAAGATTAAATGTTTTCTCACTTCTGATAACTAGAAAACCTTCTAGAATACTACAGTTTTAGGAAATGTATAACACCATCGTGCACTTCTCAATTTCTCTTATAAGGAACAATGCAAATACCCTCTTCAGTTTAATTTGTGCTAGGAATAGATTTTCTATCCTTTTTCTTACTCTTGGACAAAAGCTTTTATTTTTAGGGTTCCTAATACTGTAGGATAATACTTAATACCCATTTTAAACACTATTTGTACTTTAAACTGTACCTCATAGAATCCTTTCATATAACAGAATAAAATCTACAAATTAGATTAAATAATTCTAATTAACTATTGAGAAGAATTGCAAGCTTTATCTGACATTTTACAGCTAAAAAGTCCTAATTAAAAGGCAAATCCTGCTGTCCATAGTAACAAGGGCAGCTTCAAGATGAAGCCATTAGTTCAGATTCTGATATCACTCATCTGTGCAGCAGCAAAATATGCCTGAGGGGATCCCTCCACATTTGCATTCACAAGAAAAATCAGCATCAGCTCTCAAGTCCTAACTTTGGTGGGTAAAGCAGTCTGGTTTGTTTCTGGTGCTCTTTAGTAGTGGAAAAAAAAAAAAAGTCACTGAGATATTCTAGAAAATATTATAATGCCCAAACTCCATTATACAGTTATGCTTTTTTTTTCTCCCAATAACTTCATTTCATCCTTACAGAATGTTAAAATACTTGGATATAAGAAGCAAATACCACTCTGTAGCCTTCTTTCTGAATTCTTTCAGTAGTGCCTCGTTCATTGCCTATAACCCTAAGATTTCACTGTAATTGAAGGAATCCTTACGTTGCCAACATCAGAAATAGTCTAGGACTTGACCCTTTGTTTCATCAGCGCTCTCATCCTGGACACAATGTGAGACTTGAAAAGTAAGGCTTACTTGGCCGTTTATAGTAGTTAGTAACTGAGTTGCAAATAGCAGTCATTGCTGAGCAGTGAAGACCAGAGAAGCTATCCAACAATACTTTCTTTTCCAGATCAGCAAGGCCATGCGACATTATAATCTTAAATAATGACCTAAATCATAATGAACTAAATCATTTAGTCTATTTATTATGTAGCTCTGCGTCATCATTAATGAAGTTTCTGACTTCCATCTAGATTTTCCACCCAAACCCTTCCATACCTACTTAGTCTTCAAAATTTGGTTTTGGAAGTCTAGCACAAAGAAGATAGTTGAAGTTGATAGGTGAAATATGATTTGAGGTGACAGCCATAGCAAAACTATGAGAAATAAATAGAAAAACATATATAGACTGATGGGAACTGATAGAACATTATAAAGTCAACTCAGCAGAGATTATTTAGCTTTTAGAATATGACATATCCAAGTATCAGATCATTAAGGGGTCTTTGGGTTGTTTCCAGTGCTCCCAAGATATGATCTAACTACATTCCCCCTTTCCAGTCTTTGTAGCACTAACTCGTGGTTATTCATCACCACAGAGGCATATCAGCTATTTTCAGTAGATCTGAGGACATCCTGGCTATGAGAGCAAAGACTAACACATAGCGTAGACCAAAAGAAATGGATTTATCCAGCTGGAGATTTTCCATGTGCACTAGTTCTGCCTTCGTTCACTGGTCCTGACTTATCACTCTCCCAAGCACTGGCTTCTCCATGACCCAAACCTTGGTTATACAAGGCACTCTGCAGTGGTTTTGAGGTCTGATTGCATGACCACTGAAGATAAAGATGAAATAAGTGCCCTTATTTTAATTAATCATCTCTATTCCAATTTGATTTGCCATTCCAGGGATGAAGGACTGTGCCACCTTGCACCAGGAGGTGACATTATCCCTAAAACACGTCTGCGTCGCTGCTTGGAGTCCCACCTCTAGAAGTCATGCTGATCATTGAAGGAGGTAGCTTTACCCACAAAACCAAAAGAATTCTTACAGAAAATGTTTGTGGGTTTGAAAATAAATCAGTACGACTGGAAAGGGAAAACTATCACTGGACCCTAGTCCAGTGATATTGCCGTAGTTGTTTTTCTTAAAAAAAAAAATGGCCAGAGAAATCCCAAAGAGCTCAGTTCATAATGTAGCAGCAGGTTACTAAAGTTTTAGAATATGGGGGATACAAGCTTATATGTGCCAAAATAAACCAGAATTTAACATAGGAATGCCAAATGTCCACTCTTCCTGAAAAATAGTATACAGCAAAAATTCAAGAAGCATGAACGCATTTCTTGTAAATGCCTTTTTAAAGTAATGGTGAGGAAGTAAATGAAACACTATCAAATTAAAGCCAAGGATGTATTTTTCAAAGCTGTCTAATCCGAGTTTTATTCCATATTGCTTAGCTTGCACTGAAAATCATTGTTTGACAATATAATTATTGTATTTTGAAATATTTAATGCTAAACAAAATATGACCACATAAATGAACTAAAAATAGTTTTTAGGTATTTTCAGGTAGTATTAGGTTGTGTAAATCTGTGTACAAAATTGTTTGCTGGATAAGGAGGTGTCAAAGCATTAATTTATCTCTTCCAAGGACAGGAATAGACTTTTCAAAGGCATCTAAGGCCTCCGGAAAGTCACTTCACTTCCTACCACACATTGACTTTCAGTAGAAGGTAGGTGCTTAATTCCCTTAGGTAACTGCAGAAGAACAGCCAAGTTTTATATTTCAGATTTAAGTTGATCCATCAGTGTCTCTGAAAATTTCAAGCGCTCGGAGCAGGATTTCAGTGCTGCAGCTTAATAGCTGAATTCATTTATTTAAAAGCCTTTGATGGCGAAAGCTTTGCATCAACCGAATAGCACAAGCAACATTTACAATTTCTTTCTTTCACTTAATCTTGCCCTCCACCTGTTTTAATTATATTTTACACATTTAGATATTGCATAGCGATGGAAGGTTGGGCTGGGCGCGACAAACAAACAGGATCCATTTCTGAGATTGAATTAATCAAGGTCCTGCTGGGGAAAGAGCTTTCCCATTAGCACTGTATGGGAATAAGCTTCAGTTGAAGGGGGAGAGTTGTCCGCACGGCTGCTCTGCAGGGCCTGGGCAAGAGGGACCCTGGCTGTGACCTGGCCCTGCCTCCTCTGTTGGAAGAGCAGCACAGTGAGCCACAGCTGCGAGAAAGGCTGAAATTTCAGCCAGTCCAGTTTTAATCCTTTGTTATTTTGATTTAATTTATCAACATTTGGCAATTGTGATAATTTCTTGGACTCCTTTAAGAGGCATTAAAATTCTTCTGTATAATTCCATATGAAGTTGTGGAAAATCCCAAAATGAAGGCTTTTCACTGCGTGGAAAATCACAGAATCACAGAATCACAGAATATTTAAGGTTGGAAGGGACCTCTATAGATCATCTAGTCCAACCTTCCTGCTCAAGCAGGCACACCTACCGCATGTGGCACAGGGTGGCATCCAGGCGGGTTTTGAAGACCTCCAGAGTAGGAGACTCCACAACCTCCCTGGGCAGCCTGTTCCACTGCTCTGTCACCCTAACAGTAAAGCAAGTTGCTCCTCACCTGGAGACGGAACTTCTTGTGTTTCAGCTTGTGGCCATTACCCCTCGTCCTATCGCTGGCCACCAGCGAGAACAGCCTGTCCCCTTCCTCCCTGCATTCTCCCTTCCTGAACTTATACATATTAATCAGATCCCCAGTGAGCCTTCTCCAGAGAAAACAGGCCCAGCTCACTCAGCCTCTCTTCATACGAGAGATGTTCCATTCCCTGGAAAATACTGCTAAACATACCAGTACTACCTATTTAAAATTTTGAATTTTCACAGGAATGTTTTGCTTAATGTGGGAAATAAGAATTCTCTCACTACCATCTTCCCTATTTTCAATATATCTCTTACTGTCTAAAATATATATCATATATATATATATATAAATTTATAAAATATATATATTACTGCCTAAAAGAAAACATTTCACTTGGAAAATAAAGGCAATTGCTTATCTAGGTGGACCAACCCAGTCTATCAGCTTCAGTAGAAATACGGTGTGAACAACAAGAATGCCATTTCAAGTCCAAATAGTCAGAAGCTTTTCCTTACAGGCCATGTTTATAAAGTGATTCATATCAAACCAGAGTTA